TACAGTACAGACTGATTTTTCATTAGGCAAACATTAAAGATTAATGTACAGAGATTTTTGCTGAGTACATGATGGTTTAAGAATTACGTTCTAATCAACTCCGCTTGGAGTCCCTCTTAGGCTACTGCCGGTCTCAAGCCCGGATAAAGGAGGAGGGTTGGGCATGGGATTAGCGACCCTATCCCGTAGAAAACTAACTCGCTAAAAAAACACTAACAAATAAGTACATTCTAATCATCTCACCCGAGTTCAAACCCAATACCTTCAGTTCTCATAGTAAGCACAGTAAGTTTTAATGGATAGAAGAGAATTTATTAGTCCATATGTTTAGTTCTAAACGATTCCCGATACTTTACAATTATCATCGGTGATATTTGTCTAATGGTAGATATGAATAAATGATCTTCAATCCTGAATGTATTATATTAAATAAATACTGTGGTCTTTATTTGGAGAATAAACCTATGTATGGTATTAATTAATAATTACTACTAAGACTTAAATAAGAGATTTTTTCAAGTAATACGTTGTCAGGATCTCTGATTCTGAGACATTCTGAACAATGAAATTCACCAATCAAATATAAGCTCCTATCGTCTGTCATTAATTACTATGACAACCTCTGTGATTAACACAGAATATGATATACAAAGAACGGCACCTCGAACGTGTAGAACCTCACAGTCGCATATCAGAAGATGTAAGCCGGAGAAGTGATTATTAGGTAGGAAACAAAACTGTCTAGAAAAACATGGGTATTTATAGAACTCAACGTTAGCTATAAAATCATTTTAATTCTGTCAATCCGTAAGGGGGCAAGTTATGCTACTGTCCAACAGTAGCATGTCACGTTGATATTCTAGAAATATTCATCAAGCACTGATTGGATGAAAACTATTCGACCATTTGAGGGCCTCTGGAGGGTCCGTCGTGCTTCCCGAAAGCTTTCCCAACAGTTACACTTTGTTTCATATTAGACCCATTGATCCAATCCAACTGCCAAGGCGGTATTGTGAACATACAATTCAGTGGTTGATAATAGTTTCAGCTAAAAACTCATAAGAAAGATTATTTTTTCAGTAGGTGATGTGAATATATTTAAAATAAAGTTTCAATAAACTGTCAAGTAAATAATATTTTCAGATAGGAGGGTTTTAAGGAGATTGTAATAATTTAATAGTTTGAATCCAGCGAGTGGGATCGTGGATGCGCACTGCTGAAAAGTCCTGTACTAGAATGAAACGGTCGTCAAGTGTATCGTGGCTTTCCATGCTGTTCTAGCTTTAATCAACTCATTTATTTATTTTGTTTGTTTGAACACATAAATAATGGTACAAAGAGGCACCGAATACATATACGCCACACAAGTCACTAGATTTGTGTGTGAGCTGTGACACTACCAGGCTACACAAAAACCGAAGCAGGTGGTCTTCTTAGGGGGCCACGTCTGGAGCCTTCGACTTAAGGGCCTGATCAACAAGGCAGTGAAGCAATGTAAGGAGATTCAGTCTCGTGGTAGCTAGTGACCAAAGATTGGTTCATATGCCATTTGTTGCTTCGGGGCCCATATACAGGATTTGTTTTCATTTGTGCTTTTCCAACTCCCTTAAGTGGATCCTCCATAAACTATAAAATGGACATTTGTACGTATTGTTAATAAATTCATAGATAACACTAAAAGAAACACCAATGTATGGTGAAAATTTTCTTATTTGTTGACATAGTTAATGAAAATATTCTTGATCTAATCAAATAAGAACTTATCAATGCTAAATAACTTCAACAGTGTTTTCACTGTAAACCGTTATTCAGTCAGTTGGTTATAAACGTTGTCTGTGTTATACTTTCTGGCCTTATGCTCTATTTTATATAATAACATAATGATACCGGACCAATGACGCACAAAAACCCGTACGAGCAGTCTAGAGTCCTCGTCGGTCCTTCTTCTTGACTAGCCCTAACAGCTTGTTGAGTCCAGAACACAAATATCAACCTCCGTGATATGAATCATGCATTTCAAGCATACTGGGTTTATATACAAACCAAACAGACCATATCGTACGATAAACTGGTAAATAACATTTGTACAAGATCAAGCCAAAAGTGACTGTGAATGTGGGAGACTGTAATTAATGGACTGGGCATAACTGAAGAACGGTAAATTGTATAATAATAGTCTATGAATCAAAATGAAGCTTATAATAAGGGGAATATAAATATAGAGAATCTAGTTACTGAATAATTATACAATAAGAATATACGTAGAATATTCGTCCATAAATAGTTCGCAAAAGTTACTATTCATAATTCTCATCGGGATATATCCGTTTGACCTTGAATACTGAACTGAAATAAACACTTTAAAAAAATGATAAAATCAAAGTAACAATATTATTTATATTAATAAATGAGAACTGAATAGGATGAATATGATTTGAAACGAAAGAATAGAAGGTATCTTGGTGAAACTGTAATTCATGGACGAACCAATCAGATTTAGGGTGATAGTGTAGTGAAAGAGAACACAGGTGAGGACAACCGAATTATATTTAGCACAACATTACAGAGTTACTTGGTAAAACAGAAAAACCATACTATAATATCTAATTTGCAAAATATTCAGTGATTGCCTCGGACTTCATTGCTTTCTATTCCCGTCCTTTCTTTCTTGATCTTCTCAATCTTCTGCTGCCAGATATTACATTCCTGACTCGTGTTATATACTACTTATGTCAATATAAGTAGCACGCACCACAATAGGTCTTGGATTTCTGTGCAAAATGTTTTTATCCATTTGGCTAAAATAGCGTCTTGATATTTTAGCTGATATCAATTCTTGATGAAAACCGTAAATGTAAGTTTCAGTCATCAACACCAACTGTAAATCATAATCCTTATCCTTCATACTGGTTTAAAAGTGTCATTTAGCCCTAGTCAGTAGGTGGATATTCTCAAGACCATTTTATCGAAAGTCGTCCATAAATTATAGTCTCATCGGTATCTTTTATTTCTAAAATAAAATATAGATTGTATAACTCTTTGAGTATATCATTGACGTTCAAGATATTCGATAGCTAAAAAGAATAATGTGGAAGTTATTTTGATGAAGAACGATGAAAGTTCCACGACCAAACCATCCAGCTCAGAGAACAAAACTCCATCAAAATCATTCAGCTGAGCTTCAAATCTCCACCATCTCAATATGGAAATTATTTTAAATTATCCAGGACGAAACACTATTTAGCACATTTATATAAATCCAAACAGATTGGTACATTATCATCTACAGACCAACATAAGACTTTTGATCCGTCAACTATGTGTGAATACGAACCAAATCAAATTGACTGATACTTTTTTTAGATTTCCTCCTGGAACATGAAAGAAGTAATGAAAAGAAAAAAAAAGCAGCAACTCTTTCAAATCACAAAACAAAAACCTTCATTATGATTTCTGTGGATGTAATGGTATAGCGAAAAAGGCGAGATTATAATCTATGGACGAACCAATCAGGTATAAGATAACAGGTCTTGGATTTTTGCGCGAAATTCACTCATCCATTTGGTTAAATAGAGTTTTGACATTATGACTGATGTCAGTTCATAATGAATACCCTAAACCTAATTCCTAACCTTAAACATCAAACTGTAAATCATATTTCTAATTCTTCCAACAAGTTTATAACCCTCATTCGGTCCAAATTATTAGGTGAACACTCTCATAGTCACTCCAGCATCGCTCAAATGTTGTCCATAAATTATAGTCACACCAAAAGACTTACTATTCAATCACTATGGTAATTAAGAAAAAAGAAAAGGGGGGAATAATATCAAATGAATAAACTTATCTTTTCATTGATGTATAAAGTCGAAGCGCCCCTCAATCAAGTAGGTTGTGATGTCTATTTTTTTTTCTTTTAAAATATATTCTGATTATTGTGATGATTATTATATTTTAATGAATAACATCATTAGATACACATCGAACAACCTTCTTTATGAGGAGAGTCTTGGACTAAGTCAAATACAAAATTTCCATAGAGTTATCACATTCTATCCTTTAATAATATAATCTTGATTATCATTATTGGCAATAAATAGGAAAGTAAACAAATATATCTGTATATATATAGATAGATAGATACAGAATAGTTACTATATGCCTATAAAACTGGATACTGATTTTTTTTTTGGTTCTTGGGCCGAATGATAGCAATAGTTACCATGTCAACCAATCATAATGAAGGAAAAACAGTTAGTGATTCTATAAATGGTCAATAAATAACCAATCAATTTATCCATGTATACATTGATGAGAGAGAGAAGGAGAGAGACTTATTATTTATGAATTGAACCAATCAAATAAAAGATAAATAGGCTTTTAGAATTTAGCGCGAAATTTATTCATCTATTTCGACATTTTTAACGGATGTTAACTTGAAATAGAAAAAAGCCCTAAATCATCAGTGAGACGACCTTTGGGTAACGCCAAAGTGACCTTGAGAATGTTCACCTAATGACTAGGGTTAAATGAGTGTTTTAAATCAGTATGAAGGATAAGGATTGTGATATACAATTGATAGTTAGGGATAGTGAATAGATTTAAGATTTTCATCATGAACTAACATCAGTTAAAATATCAAGATGGATAAATAAATAAATTTCGCGCTGAAATCCAAGATCTATCATCCTAAATTTGATTGGTTCATTCAGGAAATATAGTCACATCCCTAAATCTAATTCCTAACCTTAACCATCCATTGTAAATCATAATTCTTATGTTACATATTGCTTTATTAACTTTCATTTAATTTTAGTAAGTAGGTGGATACTATCAAGGTTAATTTAACTTCACTCAAAGGTTGTCCATAAATGATAGTCTTACCTTATTTTCATTTAGATTCATGGTATAGTTTTATTGTTGTTATTTCCTATTAATAGACATTTACAATATTCTAGTGAATCTATTCAAGATATTGATTGACTGAACAAATTATTTCCTTACACTAAGTCAATCATCATCATCATCATCATCATCATCATCATCATCATCATCATCATCATCATCATCATCATCATCATCATCATCATCATCATCATCATCATCATCATATCATCATCATCATCATCATCATCATCATCATCATCATCATCATCATCATCATCATCATCATCATCATCATCATCATCATCATCATCATCATCATCATATTCATCATCATCATCATCATCATCATCATCATCATCATCATCGTCATCATCATCATCATCATCAACATCATTATTATTATTATTATTATTATTATTATTATTATTATTATTATTATTATTATTATTATTATTATTATTATTATTATTATCATTATCATGATGTAAAGGGCGGCCTGCTTGAGCATCTGGGCTACCTGTCCCTACCATCTAGATATTTCAACAAGTTATCTATTTTTGTTTGTTTTAATATATCATTATGTTTATTAATCGCACAACCTATTCTGCTGCGTTTCTGAAAAGTGTACAACCTTTTGTTGTCAAAGTTACAAAAAACTCAATAAGAGATAATGTGGTTGCTGGCAGTATAAAACGAAAATAATGCACATTATTCAGATGTTCATTTACTGAACTGGTAACATATAACTGGCGATCACTCAATATTTATCGCCAGGACCGACCAAGAAGAAATACTTTACGCTGAGAATTCTATGTTGTCCCAAAAATATTATATTGAATAAAGCTGATAATAATAATAATAACGGTTACTAAGACAGAGAATTTCAATAGTTTTATGATTGGTTTGAATTTGTTTTGATCGTATTCTGTTTATTTCAAGTATTCATTCTGATTGAATGTGAATGAGATTGTAAGGGGATGGTATTTTATGTCAAGTCCATATTAGGTTATTCTAACCACTGGATAGATCAATCTATTTATTCTTTTCAAACTACATTTTTATCATGTCATCACAGTTGATTGATCACTAGGTGGGGATCAATGTCATGCTTGTCTAGTCCTTATTAGTGCTGATCGAATGTTATCGACTATGTTGCAATGTGGCCACCAGCCTAGGTGACTCGACATTGCGTGCATTATTGTGAGATTACATGGTGGTTGGATGTGGTCGACAGGAAACCCTGGACCCGGGTTTCGTGCTACTTGGCACTCGTCAGCAAGGTGTATCTGTAATCTTCAGGGAACTGATGCTCCCTGGCGGATTCGATCTCGTGTCACCCAGCATCACAGTCAGAGACGTTACCACTGGGTGGTGATCAATGTCATGCTGATCGTCTCTGACTGTGAAGCTAAGTGACATGAGATCGAATCCGCCAGGGAGCATCAGTTCCCTCAAGATTATCATGTCAGTTAGTCGCTGATTAATCCTGACTGTTTTCTTATATGATCGTATATGTGTTAATTACTTACCTGGTTCAGCATGTTCGACTATAAATATCGATTCACGCTTATAGCTAAATAAAGTTGAATGACTTGCCTTCTTCATTGTTTTGCTTCGCTTTTAAATCAACGATTGTATGAAATTATACATATTCAAACCTTATTCTCGTATATGACTTATTTAATTCCGTTCTTCACCAACACGAGTTAAGTCCATGATAACATACAAGGTTAGTTAGCATGTATATTTCAATAATAATCATTCATATGATCCAAATGGGGTCACATTAAGGGTCTTATGTAGTTTAGGCTATGTAATTTCTAGTTCGACGTCTTTAGTACCGAAAATTCATAGGTAGCAATTCTTTTCATTTTTCTGCGTAGAAAACATTGTATTGGTTCGTTTATAATTCAGTGTTTTGGTATTTCACACCTCTATTCCCAAGGTTATTGTGATTACGTATATGTGCTAGAGTTGTAACTTAGGTAATTCTCCTTCTTTGTAGGTGGTATAAATTTCCTAAAAAAACTTAGTCTGTATGAAGTTACTTACTTGCATAAACCTGTTACCCCTCGTGAAGGAGTATAGGCCTCCCACAAGGATTAGCCATCAAACTATATCTTGAATAATTCTTTCCAGTTGTTTCCAGTTGCTATTCATCTTTTCAATGTCTGTTTACAATTCCAAACACATTGTGTTCTCTCGCCTTCTTCTTTTCTATTTCTCTTCAGAATTTTAAGTCAGTACTTGCCTTGTGATGCAGTTTGATGATTTCTGTAATGTATAGCCTATCCACTCCCAACGTCTCTCCATAATTTACTCTTCAGCTCGAAAATGGTTTGTCCTCTTCCATAGTAGGCTGTTGCTGATGGTATCCGGCCGACGGACATTCAGTATCTTTTGTAGACAATTGTTTATAAATACGTGTTCAGTTTTGATGATGATGATGATGATGATGATGATTATGGTAGTAGTTCTCCAAGTTTCAGCTCCGCACGATAGAAATGTGTTGGCGTTTGTATTGAATATTCATAGTTTGATACTGATTGACAGTTGTTTTAAGTTCTATATATTCTTCAACTGTAAAAATGCTTCCTTTGCTTCGAAAACCCTCACTCTTACGTTTACATCAGATAGTCCTTGTTCATCGATGATGCTTCCCATGTACGTACAACATTACACCTGTTCCATAGTTTCTTCATCATGAGGTGTGATGATGTTGATGTTGTCTGTGATGTATTAGAGGATTTTGCTTTTTCTCTTGTGTATGCTGATGCCTACTGTTGTAGAGGCTGCTGCTGCTACACTACTTGTCTTGACCTGCATTTGTTGGTGTGTATAAGATATGAATTTTATGGGAATGGAAAGGAAATTTGTTTTGACTTTTGTCCTTTCAATTATATCACGTGATTAATTCTACCAATTATTTGACCTTTGCACTGTGCTGAATCAATGATGCGTTAATCAGTACAAGCAGTGTAGAATGAATTCTGAGTCCTGACTGGTTCTCTCGTCCAACTTTATCTGTTTAGTTCAGAAAACATGTTCCATTGTATGACCTCCATTTTTGGTGTGTATGAGATAGAAGGGCTAGGTCATCTGCAAGGTTCAAATGTTCTGATTGATTCCGAGCTATCCATTATATTCCGTATTTCTTCTCAGATGTCGAGGTATTCATAATTCAGTCGACCACCGCGAGAAATGGAAAGGGTGAGAGTAGACAGACAGTTTTGCCTGATTCCGGTCCTCACTTGGAATATATATATATATATATATATATATATATATATATACTTATTTGCTTTACTTACGCCCGTTACTCCTAATGGAGCATAGGCCGCCGACCAGCATTCTCCAACCCACTCACTGTGTCCTGGGCCTTCTTTGTTAGCTCCATCCAATTCTTGTTCATTTCTCTCATGTCTATTTCCATTTCCCGGCGTAATGTGCTCTTTGGTCTTCCTCTTTTCCTTTCGCCTTGAGGATTCCATAACTCCGCCTGTAGCTCTTATAGGGTTGCTGCCGGTCCCAAGCCCGGGTAAAGGAGGAGGGTTGGGCATGGGGTTAGCGTCCCCATCCCGTAGAAAACTAACTCGCTAAAAAAACGCTTACCAGAAAAAATAATCCAAACCATTTTAACTCTGCCCTGGGAGTTAGAAGGTCTTCATTTAGAAGAATTATGACGCTTCATGGTGAAAGCCGAGTTCCTTCGGAAGCCACGAGGCCGATGCCCCTTCTAACAACCACAGCAAAAAATTTTTATAGGTACATGGAACGTTCGAACAATGTGGGAAACCGGGAAGACCAGTCAAATATCAATGGAAATGAGGAGATACAACTTAGCAGTACTGGGAATCAGCGAAACCCACTGGACCCAAGCTGGACAGAAAAGGCTAGCTACGGCAGAGATGCTGCTATACTCCGGTCACGAAGAGGACAATGCTCCACACACTCAGGGAGTCGCTCTTATGCTGTCCAAAGTAGCACGAAATGCACTTGTAGGATGGGAATCTCACGGATCCAGAATCATCAAAGCATCATTCAAAACAAAGAAGGAGGGGATCTTAATGAATATTATCCAATGTTATGCACCCACCAATGACAGCAACGACGACATTAAAGATCAATTCTACGAGCGGCTGCAGTCAGTGATAGAGAAATGCCCAAGAAAGGACCTCACCATTCTAATGGGAGATCTAAATGCCAAAGTCGGAATAGACAACACTGGATATGAAGATATTATGGGACGACATGGACTGGGAGAAAGAAACGAAAATGGAGAAAGATTTGCAAATCTATGTGCATTCAACAAATTGGTCATAGGAGGCACAATATTTCCACACAAGCGTATACACAAGGCTACATGGATCTCACCGGACCACACTACAGAGAACCAAATAGATCATATTTGCATCAACAAAAAATTCCGAAGGACAATGGAAGATGTGAGAACCAGGAGAGGTGCTGACGTAGCTTCAGACCACCACCTAGTTGTAGCCAATTTGAAACTGAAGCTAAAAAAGAACTGGACAAGTGGACAAACAGCAATACAAAGGTTCAATACAGCCTTCCTTCGAGATACTGTCAAACTCAATGAATTCAAGATAGCTCTCAACAACAGGTTCCAAGCCTTACGAGATCTACTGAAAGAAGAAAAAACTACTATGGAGGACAACTGGAAAGGCATCAAGGAAGCATTAACTTCAACGTGTCAAGAGGTTCTCGGTCTAAAGAAATACCATCATAAGGAATGGATCTCTACAGAAACAGTGGACAAGATCAAAGAAAGGAAGAACAAGAAGGCAGCAATAAACAACAGCCGAACACGAGCAGAGAGAGTCCAAGCACAAGCTGAATACATAGAAGCAAACAAACAAGTGAAGAGGAGCATTAGAGCCGACAAGAAGAAATACGTGGAAGAACTAGCAACGACGGCAGAAAAAGCTGCTAGAGAAGGAAATATGAAACAGCTTTACGATACAACGAAGAAACTATCAGGGAAATACAGTAAACCAGAGAGGCCGGTCAAAGACAAAGAAGGCAAGCCAATCACTGAAATTCAACAACAGCGGAACAGATGGGTAGAATACTTCGAGGAACTCCTGAATAGGCCGGCTCCAATGAATCCACCGGACATCGAAGCAGCACACATAGATCTTCCTATAGATGTCAATCCACCAACTACGGAAGAAATTAGAATGGCCGTCAGACAAATCAAGAACGGGAAAGCAGCAGGACCCGACAACATACCAGCTGAAGCACTGAAATCAGACACCAAAGCAACCACAAGCATGCTTTATCTTCTATTCAAAAAGATTTGGGAGGAGGAACAAGTGCCGATGGACTGGAAAGAAGGACACCTCGTCAAGATTCCAAAGAAAGGAGATCTGAGCAAATGTGAAAACTACAGAGGCATTACACTACTGTCAATACCAGGGAAAGTCTTCAACAGATTGTTGCTGAACCGAATGAAGGATGCAGTAGACGCCCAACTTCGAGATCAACAAGCTGGATTCCGTAAGGATCGGTC